AAATCCTGCAATGTACTACACATTCATACCTTTCTTTCGAGCCCATTTACTCGACGATCGAGTGTGAACTCGCTCCGGTGTAGCGAAACTTAGAGGGAACTTAAGTCAGGGCCATCTGATAACAGTTCTCCTCATGTTTCTCGCCTGGTATCCAGTCATATTTCGAGTATTTGGTATCTTCGGATAGCTATAGGTCTCCCCTACATATCTATGGTGCCTGACGAATATTCTCAGCCGTTCTTACTCCGTAGTCCACGATCTTACTCAGCCAACTTTGTGTCCATTGCCCTCTTGAATGTTTTACCTTATACATGACCTTTGTCTCGCTTTGTAAACTCTCGTCTTGTTCTGGCGACCTCTGTTTACATGCTACATTTCCTTTGCATGCTTTACTTAGTGTTCAGAGTAGTGTACATTGCTTGGCATTCGTCTTACTCATCCTTCAAGGCCGGTCAGTCATAGTAGCTTAGAGTACTGATCATTTATTGTTTCTTTCGTCGTCTCGGAAGGACAGAGGCTTAGGCGAGCTCTAGTATATATAGTAGATAGTTCTATCATGTATTTACTCAGTTTTCGAGATCGTCTACTCCTGGGCATCTCCTAGATTCACTCTACCTTGTCTCTTATCCCTTTATCCGAATATACTCGCCTTTTATTCCTCTGAGAGTCGTCTTGAGCCGTGGGGTACATAGACCCGTGCTGCCCGGCCGTGACACGTGTTCTCCGACCTGTTGCAGAAGGATGTCGAGTGGGAACCATTACCCAAGTACGACTACAGGGGCTTTTGGTATACGGCGCAGACGTCCCACGCAAGCCACCCACAGAAGCTCCCCGGCCCCTGCGTATTGCAAACCGTCACCCACAAGTTTCAATGGACAAAATGGGTCAAGGTCAGAGAAAAGAACGACGGCTTGGACGATGATCCTCTATCGGATGGAGAGGCGACCGAGGACGAGATGCAGCAGGAGAAAGAGTTGAGGGATCGCGCGAGGAAGGCGAAGAGGAAAAATGCCAAGAAGCGGACCCAGGAGGAGAAACAGGCGGTGAAAGAGGCTGAGGAACAGCAGGCGAGGCGGGATGAGAAACAGCGTTTGAGGTCGGAGCACGGCGCTGATGGCGAGACCGTCATCTTTAATGACGACGAGATGGAACAAGTGGAGAGGCCGGACGTTGGGGAAGGTATGGTGCGCTCCGATGGGAAACGGGCGGGAGACGATTACCTTCCGGATTCGGACCCGCCTTCTGATGACGATGAGATGATGGGTACATTTAGCGGAGGTCACGATGGTGTGAGGGGCACAGATGACGACGACGAGCGAGGTGTGGGGGAAGAGGACAAGGAAATGAGGAGCGGCGGCGAGGGTGAAGAGGAGGATGCTGAGGGAGAGGATGACGAGGAAATGATGAGCAGAAATGGGGGTGGTGCTGAGGGAGATGATGACGAGGAGATGATGAGCGGAAATGGGGGTGGTGCTGAGGGAGAGGATCATGAGGAGATGATGCCCGGAAATGGGGGGGACGTAGACATGGACGCACGCGACGTTGAAGAGTACGAGGAATCGGAGGAGTTTGAAGAAGAGGACGACGATAAGGACGAGGATTACGTCGAGTGATAATATGACGGAGAAGACACCGCGTTGGGCTGCACCGTACCTCGTCTATTATATAATGATATTTCTTGACCCAGTCGGAGAGTTATATGTAGGATATTCTCCTTACTGATGGGCGCGAAGAAATATTAAATTTTCTATAGCGGTTTCAATTTGTACATGGGCGAGGAAAACTGCGGCGACAAGTTGTCGCCAAGTTGTTGGAGAGGGAGGTTGCCATGTATTTGAAATGCCTGCGACCAGGTCTGGTCGGGGATAGCCGAAAACTGTGGCGGGAAGTTGGCGCCACGGGCAGGACGTTGTTGAACTCTCGTTCATATCGCACCTCATTCACATCTAAGTGAAATGGTCACCGACGGTTTCTTTGCGTACGGGTTGTGCGGAGACATCTGGGACGACAAGCCAGATTTGTACTGAGACAAATAGGTGAGATGCAATCTGTCCGTCCTCGCCATTTGCTGTTATAGATTATGCTCATGGGCTGTGAGGCTTCAGCCGCCGACGCATCTGTTTCATGTTCAAGTTTTTTTTTTTGGAATCAGGTTTATTGTCCGTTGGGGCAGAGGCGCCCTATGTTGGACGTAAAACACGTGAGCCAGCGAGAAAGTTTAACCCTTAGTACACAACGAATGGGTGGCTTCAGGCTACGCCCCCACCACCCCGGCCCAACCAGACGCCATATTAGAAGGTGTTCAATAGTGATTCACCGGGGCCGACGTATACATAGTATGCACCACGACGGAGTCGCCCATCGTAGTGTGCGTATCATGGCGTAGCATTTGACATCAGGTGCGAGCCATGGCTTGTACTCTTTCGAAAAACTCAAAGGTGCATGACTTTCACCTGTGTGCTGCCGTCACAATTTAGGGGCTGCGGCGTTTATGGTAATAGTCTTTTGTGTGGTGTGTATTCGGCATTGGCTGGTTCAAGTGGGCTTTGTACCCTTCGAGCTTCGGTACACGTACTTGGTCCATTTATTCCACCTTTGATTGCTGCTCTAACCTTTGCTCGCATACAGACTTGTACTTGCTTCGTTTGACTACAGGTAAACTTTGCAACATCTGGTTCTGTCACTTGGTCTGTTTCTGAACCGTAATTTCTTTTCAGTCTTCACATATTTGCCTTGCGCCTTCGCCTTTCAATATCAGGTAGCTGAACCCTCCTTACTCCCGTTCGGCACTGCAGCCTTCCCGGCGATTTGCCTTTCGACTTCGGCTTCCGTGTGTTGATCTTCGGTCAGTTATCTTGCGCCGTTCCTGGCGTTGTCGTATCACCTACCTTATATCCCTTTTACCCTTTGACCGTAGGTGAGTTTCCCCCCATCCTGTGACCGTGGTCCTGACATTTCGACTTGTCTTATTGATTTGGGCTAGTGTGTCTCGACTTTAGGTAGGGTTTTCATCGTCGTTGTCTACTGATATATTTCCAACTTGCTATTTGGCTGAATCCGGTGGACGTTCGACTTGTACTTACCGTTTTCGATTTCAGGTAAGTTCTTCGCATTCGGATTGTTTCTTGCGGTGTCTCTGACCCTTTTCTGCCTTTTACACTCTCACTCACTGATATCTCTAACTTGCTATTTGGCTGAATCCGGTGCACGTTCGACTTGTACTTACCGTTTTCGATTTCAGGTAAGTTCTTCGCATTCTGATTGTTTCTTGCGGTGTCTCTGACCCTTTTCTGCCTTTTACACTCTCACTCACTGAACCTGGACTAGCACGTTGTATTCCCGGGTAGGTATTCTCACCTGTTCTACAATAGTTGACATCGTCTGACTGGGCAGATTGGACGTTCGTGATGCATTGCCGACTTCGAACTTCAGGTAGGTTTGGCGGCATGCTTTGTCGTTCGCTCGCGCTAACACTTCCTTGATTCCTCGCCAGTGTTAATTCGACTTGTGCTTACTCGTTCCGATTTCCAAGTGAGTCCACCGCTCTCCTTCTTGCTTTGTCTGTCGTTCTGACTTTGATATCTTCGCGCCTTCGACACGCTCGACCGTGTCCTCTTGATTTTCGAATTGCGGAAGATTCCAGGTGAGTCACTCGTCACTAACTGACCCACGCTCCGTACCATCGCGAATTATTCATGTTGGTATCTCCCTCATTTGGTTGTTCAGTTGGTTGTTTATTGGGTGTCTACTTGCTGACGCCTTTTAGACTTTCACCAGACCTCCGGCCTTCGGAAATCAGACTTCGAGGGAATCACCAGGTGAGTGCGCAATGTAGGCTGACATTGCTGACACTTCTGAGCGTGTGGTGGTGTGGTGTCCGTAGCGCGTTTAGCTCTCGTGCCTCATAGACAAAACCCTCAGGGGAGAGCTAATTCGTCGTGTTTTTGCAGATCTGTTTCCAGTCACAAGGTGCGTCCAGTCCTTTGGGTTCAGCATGCGCAGGTACCCTCGTGAACTCTTCGTGAGGGTGTAGCTGATTGGCGGTATAGTATGTGGGTGCAAATTACCTGGGCCGAGGAGCACACCTACTCCAGGAGGTCTCGCGGATACCGCCATAGAGTCGAAAACCGCGTAGCGGCGTGGATACGGACACGGACGACGGACGACGAGGTTCGCGGTGGATGGTACTACCACTTCATCGGCGCTGGAATCGTTCACGCCACAATTTTGTATTTTTTGCTTTTATCGCCCTTCTCGTCGAGTTATCGATGCTGACGTCTGGTTTGGTTTAGGGGCGGGCACCATAGCAGCCGAAGTGGCTACGTGACCCATTATACTGTGGATGTCACGGCTGACGGAGAGACGAGGCGTTATCACGTACCGAAGAACAGTAGGATCGTTTGAAGAGAATGAGTTTCTGGTGTGCGTGGGGTCTTTTCTTGGAATATGGCTGTCGCTATGGCGCCTTGTACACGATTTTTGGGCTCTTGCTATGTTTGGTTGTCGCTGTCAGTTGCTCGTGTTGTATTGTTTTCTTGCACTGTATGTCGCTTTCTTATTTATGATCGTGTCCGCATCGTCGCCTTCAATGTGAGACGTCATTGTTGCTATCTCGTGTGACAGGCTCACGCAAGTGAAATATTGATGGATAGACCATGTATGTATATACATACAATCAGACATCTTATCAACGAGAACCACAGGCTCTTGCACCCCATCTACCACCACGCGCTAATCTCAATCCACCAGCGACTCCATCGCCCCTCTCTGCACCTGCTGCCGCATTGAAACAACGCAAGGCCAAAAAGAAACGACCCAGTCGCCGGCGCCGGAGAGCGCGTCGGGAATGCGTGAGTGAAGAGATTTGTAGAAAAACACGTCTAGGCCGATGCGGGACGTTATTTTGAGTGGATTGATCCAGCTACATCGAGAACGCGAGGTAATTCGAGTGAAAACGAGCAAAAGTTCGAGTAGGGGGGGTATAGGGGACTCACCGGGACAGACACCGTCATTCTCGAGGATGAGGAGACCGATAGTCGTCAAACAAATTGGAGGGAGCGATGCAGGAGACTGCCACAAGCCAAGCCACCCGGCTACATTAGAGATGCGAGGTGATTTGAGTGAAACCAAGCAAAAACACGAGTAGGGGGGCGTGGGGCACTCACCGGGATAGTGATCGTAGTTCTCGACGACAAGGGGATGCGGGAGGCTCATACGAGTCAAACGATCCCGCTACATCGAGCACGCGACATGATTTGGGCGAAAAGGGGCGAAAATTTGAGTATGTGGTATGGACTCACCAAGGCAGAGACCGTCGTTCTCAACGACGACGAAGCCGATCATCGTCGAACAAAATGTAGAGGATGATGGAGACGGTTCATAAGAGTCGAAACATCCCGCTACATTGGGAACGCGACGTGATCTGAGCGAAAATGAGGGAGAATACGAGTAGGGGCGGACTCACCAGGGCGGTCACCGTCGTGCTCGACGACAAGGAGGCCGGTCGTCGTCAAATCAAGTGCGGGTGCTCCGTGTTCAGCACCTGATGCACCTTCAAGTTCAACGGCTCCGCGACCTCCGCGAAGACGACTCTGCCTCATCCCGGGGCTCGTACTCCGGTGTGCGGGCGGAGGCGGGTGATACAGACGGACGGACGACCGATTGAGCGTGCGTGTGTGGGTCGTGTGGAGGTGTGGACGTTGAGGCGGGGGCGGAATTGAGTGGGGTTGAGGAGGAGGAGGAGGAGGAGGAGGAGGAGGAGGAGGAGGAGGAGGAGGAGGAGAGGTTTGGTCAGTACAAGTCAGAAGGAGAGTGGGACGGGGAACTGACCGATATGGCATCAGAGGAACGATCGTCGGATGTGATATGGCATCAGAGGAACGATCGTCGGATGCGATATGTCTTCGGACCCGAGCACAGCCCAAGCGATATGCCTTCGGAAGAGAACTCGGCGTATGCGATATCACATCGGAGCGCCCAAGCGATATGCCTTCGGAAAGGGTGTATGCGATATCGCATCGGAGCAACGATCGTGGGGTGACATATGGGTTCCGACCAGAGATCGGCGGATGGCTGATGAGATGTGCCAAGATCTACGGGCAGAGATATCGTATCGGGCCCTACGTTGGCGGGACAAGGGATGGCGGGTCACAGAGACGGAGTGTTTATGGAGCGCACACAGCGAGTCGCCAGAGACGATGCACAATCAACAGACGAGGAAGCAAGGAGCAAAAGACGTGCAAGCAAGTGAGATGGAGAGGGGGGAGGGAGAGGGGGATAAGCCATATGGGCGGGCATCCTTGGCGCGGTGCCTTATGGCCACCATTATCCCGCGGGATATCCCATGCTCACGTGATCCCAGTTATACGGTTGCTCTC